AAGCATGTGGATGAAATGTTGCCCATTTCCACTACAAACTCTCCATCTTTCAGACAGACCGTTGGGGGCAACTGTGGTTCAGTGGGTAGAGCAGTCATCTCCCAATCGGAGGTTGGAAAATCTCGGTGCCTGTAGTCCACATGTCGAAGATGTTATGTGCCATTCGCACCTGTCAGTGAGCGAACGAGAAAGAGGCGGACCCAGGTAGCCGACTTCGGTGCAAGCAGTGATTTATTATGTACAGTGATGATGAGAGTAACAATACACAGAGGGAAATAGTGCGTAGTCCTGTCGATGAGTAGTAGCCGGGTGTTTGACCAACAGCAGGAGGCGAGGAGATGGAGAGCTGGGCCGAGCTGCGTAGGCTGGGTCACTCCTGGGCTGGTCGGTGGTGATGGTGGCTACTGAAGGTAGAGCCAGAAAGATGAAGGCAATAGTGGAACAGATAGGTGACTGAGCATTGACCTGCCTGGGAGGGGAGAGTGGAGCCACAGTCCGGAGGAACAGTCCATGGGGGAACACAAAACAGTAGCTGGCTAGGGGATAAATCCATACAAAACAACAAAAGAGCACAGAGAAAAAATGGCCTAGAGACTAGAACGAACTGGCAAGTGACTGAGGAGTGAAACCGAGTAATATAGTGAGCAACCTAATCAAGTGCAGCTGGTGATAAGGGAGTGAGGAACAGGTGAACGTGATTAGTGTAAATGGGCAAGAGACAGTAGGAAAGATGAGGGAGGCCAGAGCGGCCGCGCAAACCTGACAGAAGAGTGCTTGGGCAAGACACTGAACTGCAAAGTTGCCCCCAATGGTTAGAGCCATCAGTTGAGTTGGTGTCACAGATTGCTGCCTCGGTTCTGTACCAGAAAAAGAAATTCCTTGTGTGTAACATACATGGCCAAATAAAGGTGATTATCCGGTCAACTAAGATGGTGCCAACAGCAATGGCAGCCTTGGTTACTCGTGCTCTCTTGTGTTTGTTGTTTTTCTTTGTTTTCTCGGTCTTTTGCAACCCATCCCGGATTACTTTTACCAGAGAAGAACTGTTAAATATTGGACAACTCACACCAAACTGCATTTCTCCGATTTTTGTGAACGAAGAATGCTGTATGGACATTCTGATCGGAGGCACAGCTGCCATATACCGGATGTGGAAGAAACCCCGGCGTGGTGGGCACCTTGGTGAGTGTATGCCAGAGAGGGACCTGGACTCCGTTCCCATCTATCCACGTAGCAAATCTCCACTCCCTGGTCAACAAGATGGATGAAATTCTTCTTGTCAACAGGGCTATATCTGACTTTGCACGCTCTGCTGCTTTGTGCTTCATGGAGACCTGGCTGAGTGACTCGATTGTGGAAAGCATGATACAAGTACCGGGCTTCCAGGTGTACAGAGCAGTTCGCGTAACGGAACTGTCTGGGAAAATGAGAGGAAGTGGAATCTGCTTTTACATAAATGAAGGTGCACAGGTGTCACAGTGCTACCAAGGACATGTAACGCAGACCTAGAGACTCTTTTTATCAACCGCAAACCCTTCTATTCTCCTTGTGAATTTTTGATCTTTGTCCTGGTGGGTGCCTATTTAAAGCTGCAGGCCCACGCTAGCGCACTACATCTCCTGGCAGAACAGATAACTAGCATTGAGCTAGAACACCCTGACTCTCCACTCATTGTTCTAGGGGGCTTTAGCCTCCTCCTTGCCTCCTCCCCCTGGACCCTCTTCCAGCCAGGATGACCAAAGAGGTTATTGACACGGTGGGTCCCTTCCTGGTCACTTTCATAAATTGTCGCTTGAAGATGGGTGTGGTCCCTACTGCCCTTAAGCATGCAGTAGTGAGACCACTCCTCAAAAAACCTAACCTTGACCCTTCCCTAGTCTCCAACTTTCGCCCTATTTCTCTTTTGCCTTTTGTATCTAAGATCATGGGAATTGTCCTTAACCAGCTGCAGTCTCATTGAGACCGCCTGGATATGGCTGACAAGTTCCAATCAGGCTTTAAGCCCCACCATAGCATAGAGTCTGCACTACTAAAGGTCCATAATGATGTTACCATGGCCCTTGATGCCAAATGTTCCGTTATGATGGTCCTTTTAGATTTATCAGCAGCTTTTGACACTGTCAACCATGCGATTCTAATTTCTAAACTTGAACATCTTGCTGGTCTGAGAGGTGTGGCTCTAAATTGGTTCATTTCTTAACAAACAGAACCTTTTTGGTTATCATTGATAGGTTTTTCTCTGACATAGCCCTTCTTACCTCAGGCGTTCCACAATGCACGATTCTGGCACCATTACTGTTCTCCCTATTTGTGCTGCCACTGTTACTGTGCCAAGTTACAATGTTCATTTTCATTTTTATGCTGATGATATTCAGATTTACATGCCTCTGATTCAATCTGACTCGAATGCACTAGCCCCATTACAGAATTGCATTCAAGATATTAAGAAATGGTTAACCCATAATTTCCTTCATTTAAATGAAAGTAAAACTGAATTTATGTTCATCAGCCCTGATCCAACTGTAGTTCTACGTAGCTCAGATGTCTGTCCTTTCACTCAAAGATTCTATTAAAAATCTTGGAGTAATATTCGACAGCAGATTTAATGTCGATAAGCAGATTAGGACCATAGTTAAGACCAGCTTTTTCCACCTAAGGCTTTTTGCGAAGGTTAAGCTAAGCAGGATTATAACCTGTTTACCCCATCAGTATCTCTACCTGCTCTTCCTCACCACCACACACACAGGCAGCTATCTCCGGACCATACGTCTCACCACCCTTCCAGCCTACACCAGCACAGTCCTACAAATTACCACCACTCACCACTGTCATCTACTATTTTCCACCTCCATCGGCCAGCCAGTGAGTGACCCCTCTGTTCCGCAGCTGGCCCTCCTCTCCACATTAACTGTCTCTGTACTGGTTGACACCTGGTCCCACAGTCTTTATATCAAAGTTCAAAGTGTTTATTTTGTCATATGCACAGTTAGGAAACGTGTTTCACTGTACAATGAAATTCTTATTTTGCTGTCCACATGAATGCCACAAAATACAAATGAAATATAAAGTAGATGAATAACATAAAATCTAAGGCACTTTAGGCAGCAACAGATGCAGCAATATAATAAAAAATATATAAGAATATAACAGAATGTATGCTGCATGGGAGCAGCATGTGCAGCAGAGTCATTGTGCAATTACGTATGCATGTAACATAAAATCTAGAACACTTTAAGCAGCAACAAATGCAGCAATATAATAAAGAATATAATAGAAAATGTATGCTGCATGGGAGCAGCATGTGCACCAGTCAACAGTCATTGTGCAGTTATCCACATGCAAGCTGAGAATGTAAACAGTACATGATGTATTTCCTGGCAATAAACTCCTCAGCTGTTTAGGAGTCTGATGGCAGAGGGAAAGAAAGAGTTTTTCAGTCTAGAGGTCCTACATTTCACACTTCTGAACCTCTGGCCAGAGGGTAGGGAGGTGAACAGTCAGTGCTGGGGGTGGATGGGATCTTTGAGGATGGAGGCAGCCTTCCTACGCACCCTGCGGTGGTAAATGCTCTACAGAGAGGGCAGTGGAGTCCTAGTGATCTTCTCCGCAGTCCATTTATATCATATGCTTGTATAATCCTCACCGCACTTGTATATAGTTGTATAGCATTTAATAAATATGCTTGCACCGAAGTAAGCCCTCTAGGTCAATTTTCTTCGCACGCTCACCTTCCCATTCAAAAAGAACTGGCCAATGTAGTGGTTTAAGTTACATGTTAATATGGGTTATGGAATAGAGTGTTTGTGTGCTCACTTTTAAGTTCATGTGAGCTGAACAATGAGCTTATATAATTTGCCCAAGATGTTTCTTGTTTTTGGGTACATCTCAGGGTGTTGTCTCCTAAAACCGCAGATAGGAAGCTAAATTCGGAAATTGACGTAACAGCCTAAAGAAAGCTGTGGATAAAACAGTGAGGCTGAAGGGTATATAGAGAGAGGAAGAATTCTACCGTGACAGTGAACCGTGCACTTTTTGGGATCCAGGCCTGGGTAGGGGGAATGAACTCAGGACTGACTGGACCCCTGATCAAGACTGACTGACTCTGTGACAATCTTATTTAATACTGTGTCTATTCCATTTCAGGAGGAGTGATTCTGTTCTCTGTTCCCTAACTACCAGATTACCTATTTAACTACTACTCTGTTCAGAATAATTGTAAGAGATAGGGTGAGGAGCTTGGTCACCCGAGAGGGGCTAAGAGTAGAACCGCTGCTCCACCACATCGAGAGGAGCCAGCTGAGGTGGCTCAGGCATCTGTTTCGGATGCTTCCTGGGCACCTTCCTAGGGAGGTGTTCCGGGCATGTCCCACCGGGAGGAGGCCCCGGGGAAGACCCAGGACACGCTGGAGGGACTATGTCTCCGGGTTGGCCTGGGAACACCTTGGGGTTCCTCCTGCGGAACTAGAGGAGGTGTGTGGGGGAGAGGAAAGTCTGGGTGGTTCTGCTCAGACTACTGCCCCCGTAATGCGGTCTTGGATAAAGCGGACGAAGATGGATGGATGGATGGATGATCTAATTTCAATGAGCATTCCTTTGTCTGTCTACATTGTTTACTGCCTGTTTATACTGCTTATTTTGCATTGTTTGCACTGATTGTTGCTTGTTAATACTGCTTATTTTGTTATATTACACAGCCTTATGCTGATTTACTGTTTACTTGCCCCTTGCATGGGGATATGTACATGCACATTGGTTGCATACACCAGCAGACCCCCAAGTAAAAAAAAAAAAAACAAACATTTTTGCAAGATATTACTAATCTGTGGGGTGTAATGGAAAAGTAATATAATGAGTAGTGTAACAAGATACTGTTGACAAGGAGTAATAATTAAAATAAAATAATTTTTGAAAAGAGTAATACATTTTTTGAGTAATGAGCCCAACACTAGTTATGAATATAGCTTGATGTCAGAATACCAAATCAAACCAACAAAAGTACATCAATGTTCAAATAATGTTTATTTAAATTTCATGTGTAAAAGTTTGAGCTTGTCATTGTGCTTTAATTCCCTTGTTTTCCCCAGCTCAGAATGAAACACCATGCCAAAGGAACATTCGGTTATAGATTTACAAGATCACCTTCACATATATACAACAGTGAAGCAAATTAAAACTGTATGCTAACTACACAAAAAAGATCCCACTGAATGACAGTTTGTGCATTTGTAAGTCCATATTTTGAAAATGCAGAACCATGGGCATCTTGTAGCACAGTGGCAGCATACACACCTTAATGTGGGCACATCTAGTGGAGAGTGCCATACGTCCAATTAAGTACAGTGCATGGTTAGTTGAGCAGAATCAGGGCTGTATGGCACAGAATAGCATCATCTGCATGACGTATCAATCCTGTACTCTTCAGTGAATCTGTGACTGGCATACAGTCACTTCACACTAACTCTTGCCTCAAGGAATCCCATGGGACTACTGCAGAACTTGCATTACAATTCTGTCGAGTCAAGCAAGTTCAGACGATTTCACTGTTCCTCATTGTCTTTACAGTCATCCCTGCTGATAATCTCTAACAAACTCAAGACTGCCGCCTCCAGGCCAGCTCTTCCTGTGTGCTTTTCAACCTTCTGTCTCTCCCCCACTAGGGCCTCAGGCTGTTCGCTGCAGGCAGTCCTTACTTCCACCAGAGGGCCCCTCTTCCTCCACAGTCCTTGTGTCTGCAATGATCTGGACCTCATGCCATTTCTCCACAGGTGGGTGGGAGTCTAGGTATATGGTCGAGTTGGGGGGCTTCAGCAGATTCTGGAGAGCAAGAAGGATGGAAAATAATTCAGGTTTAAGTAAATAAATAATGGCTAAAGAATCCAAATGAAGGGAATGCATGTCACTGTTGTGGACAAACGAAGATAATTTTTTGTTGCATGCTACAAGACTTGAATCAGTGATTACAAATAAACAACATTAGCAACAAACATAAATTTATGCACACACATGTATAGACATACATACCTCTTTAAAGTGCTGAGGCAGGGCATCTTTTGGACAGAGAAAATGGGATATGCTTTTCCGATACACCACTGTGACTGCCACCAGAGTCACTGCCAGTGCCACGAAGAATATTGTCACCATGAGCGGCACCCATGGAGCTTCTTCAACTGCAGAGAAAGTCAGGACACAGTAGAAATCACCAGTATGTTCTCAGTTTTAACTTAGTGCTATTTGTTATGTCCTGGAGCATTATGATTTGAATCTGCACCATAAATATAGAGAATATCAAATTTGTTGTTTGCCATTTTCTATTAATATTAAGCCACTGTGAACAAAACTATTACTTTCTGTAGGAATGGTTCACATTAGCCCTTACTGATAGAGATGGTGTGGAGTCAGTCATAGTAAAACCTTTCCATTTAATGCAGTCCAGTTCTACATCAGCTCTTAAGTATGGGGTCAGAAAACCTAACATAAAACAGACTCAATTATACATTTCATGAAAATATACAAAACAGATTTTCCAGTAAAATGCAAGACCACCATCTCTTATGCTACGCTACATGGCAGTAGTTTAGTGCTTGGTTTACTCTTTGGCAACCACAAATATACTATATACACAGTGTTAGGTTAATTTCTTAGTTAGATAGATATGGATTAGAGATCTGTTGTATTAGAAGATGTTTAGTGTAGCCAGGATGTCTCCTCAGGCTGTTAAATGCAAGGATAGTTAAGGCAGAGAAGGGCTCAAGTCAGGGACAAATGTTATTATGACGGTAAAAGTAACCATAATATTTGTCTTAATGTGTAATGTTATGTCAAATTGTTTTAGATACAC